GGCCGGGGCCGGTGGGTGACCCGGCCCCGGGGCTGGCGCAGTCAAGGCTGCGGCGATAAGCGCCGGGTTTGTGGGGGAGAGGCCGTGCATGTGACGGGGGTGAAGGTCGGTGTCTGGCAGAAGGGCCCTGGTTTATTTTCCTTCCTCGACGTGCCCCCGAGGGAGAGGAGCGCTGCCCGGCCTTTCACTGCGCTTAACGCTGGCCGCGGCACGTCCTCAGGCACCGGGTCTGCGGCCAGGACGGTTTGGCTTTGGAGTTTACAGACCAAAAACTGGTGTTTAGAGATCAAAACCCAGTGCCCGTCTTCCTGAGGAGAAACTCACGGCTGTCCCTCAGGGACACCGGCCATTCCTCACCCCTCTCGAGCTGCCCAGCGGCCCCAGCCCGGTGACAGCCACCCCCAGCCCTTGCCCCACCACATCCCTTTAGCAGGAGGCAGCGGCTCGTTTCACGGTGCGGAAGCCTTCCCTGCCCAGGTTCCTGCAGTAACGCAGCCTTCGGCCATGCCTCCCGCTGCGCCAGCTGCCAGGAAAAAAAGTTTCCCCATGTGCCTACTCAGGCCAGCATTACAGGTTTAAACCCTGGTCTCTGAAATCAGTGGTGCTGGATACCCACAAGTATTAAAAATCCATGGACTGCAGCTTTTCTGGACATCCCATCACTGGGATGTGACATTCTGGACATCCCCCTCTACAGCTCTTCACCAGAGATTTACTAGAGCTTAAGTGCAGAGATACAAGACTCTTGCTCTTATTACTTTGATATTTCAAAGTCTTTCACAGCAGGAGGTACAGATATAAAAGAAGAACCTGTAATAATTCCTGCCTCCTTGCCAGACACTTGACACAAACCCCTGCGGACCCAGTTGTTCAGAAAGGGACACACAGCCTGTTCCCAAAATCTTACAGGCTAAGGCCCCTGGTCTGTGAGAACACTTGGCATAGGGTGGCTGTGTTTACCATGCTCAGCTGCCTGGTCTGTCCCAGCTCCACCGATGACTGAAGGATTCATGAACCAACACCTGAATTGCCACAGATTTTGCATTGCAGCTTTCTGAGGCAAAACAGAGCCATGGTCTGCCTTTAAACCTTTAGGTTCTGACTGACTTTTCAGCAAATAAATCAGAACCAAATCTATATGACAAGAGAAAGGTGACAGAAAACCAAAAATACATCGCCCACGTACTTTGTTTCTGAAAACAGCATCAATTCTCAACTGTGTCTAAAGCAACCATTAATTAAATGGTGGTTGTGTTTCAGAATAGAAACGGGCCTTTGGTGGTTATGAAGGAAGACTGTCACAGGAACTACAACTGTTCACAGTTATATGTCATGGTTACAGATATTCTTTGTATTTCCCTGTTTTTTCCTGGTTTACTGAGTTGAGAACTATTTTGTGTTAGTGCAATGCACAGCATAATGGAACCTTAATGCCACACAAAACATAAACAATATAAATAAATAGCATGTAATTGAAAGTATTTTCCCTACTTTTCAGTGGAAAATTAGGACATGATGAACAATTTTCTTGTTGCAAAAGTCAGCTGTCCATCCCTGACAGATCTTTATAAGTCCTGGTAAAAAATTTTCTGGGTCTTATATCCTCCTTGTGCTAAGCTCAGGTGGTGCACAATTGTGCAGTGCACGCAATTGTGGAGCTTTGCACTGCAATACACCAGAACAGGCAGCATAAAGCTGCAGAGGATGTATGCCGCACCTGCACAGTATATTCTTAGTGGGGATCTTCCCAGCTATCCCCAAAGAGAAAGGTATACAGCAGCTCGGGCTGAGCACAGAAAGGATGTGTAGGAGAAGCTCACGAGGTCCCAGCATCCTCTGACTGGGGAGTGGTGAGAATTTATCCTGTAACTTTGTGCTTCAACATTTCAAGGTTCAGTTATGGAGTTTTTTTGTGTTTGTACACATGCACAGTTGCCGTCAGTGAGGATTTTACTGCCTATTCCCAAGA